AATCAAGTTTCAACACAAGGCTCGATTTGGCTCTCCGCAAAAAAAATAAATTTTTGGTTTGCGAGCGAAGCGAGCGATTTCCTGTCTTTCATTGGTTTCAGGTTTGCGAGCGAAGCGAGCGATTTACTGTCTTTCATTGGTTTGAGATATGAGCCAAATCATCTTTAGTTTCGTTAAGAAACTAGTTAAAGAAAAAAGAGAGTGATAGAGTGAGAGAGAGTTAGGCTTAGGCTTAGGCTTAGGCTTAGGCTTAGGCTTAGGCTTAGGCATAGGAAGCCTGGGTCAATGACCATGCTTAACGTTGGCTTAACGTTGGCTTAACGATTTGGCCGTTAGTAACGATTTGGCCGTTAGTAACGATTTGGCCGTTAGTAACGATTTGGCCGTTAGTAACGATGTGGCCGTTAGTAACGATTTGGCCGTTAGTAACGATTTGGCCGTTATCGAAATTTTGGCCGTTTTCGAAAGTTTGGCCGTTTTCGAAAGTTTGGCCGTTTTCGAAAGTTTGGCCGTTATCGAAAATTTGGCCGTTATCGAAAAAAGCAGCTAATCGCCACATCCCAACATCCCAGTATCCCAACATCCCAGCATCCCAACCTCCCAACATCCCAACATCGAGAAACACAATAAGCCAGTAATCCCTCAAAATTAGATACGCGTTGCGAAAATATGCGGTTTAAAACTTTGGCCGACGGCCAAAATTTTAAACAGAAAGGTATTGAAGAATTATGTAATCCCAAAACCCGTATAATTCCAAATCCCACAATCGTGTAAAGCAGCCGTGGCCGAGGTGGGAAGAGAGAAAGACAAGGAACAAGAGGGCAGGCAGGTGCGAGGGTTCGACTCCGGCGGGAGGAACACAATAAGCCAGTAATCCCTCAAAATAAGATACGCGTTGCGAAAATATGCGGTTTAAAACTTTGGCCGACGGCCAAAATCGTAATCAGAAAGGTATTCAAGAATTATGTAATCCCAAAACCCGTATAATTCCGAATTCCACTATCGTGTAAGTTGGGACATTTACCACCAAAATGAGGTACATAGCACTTAGCTGGACAAACAAGGTTAACTTCCAGAAACGACCAGAGCCGCACCTTGAGAGGTTTCAATTTGATTTTTTTGGCCGACCGCGACACTTAGGCTACACGGGCACTCGACGTTCACTTTGAATTTGGAAATTTATTGCCGGACACTTTGAATTTGTTTTCGAAACATAGTAAATTTTTAATTTTTTGAATTTTACCGCCAAATATTTTGAATTTGAAAATAAAGTATATTTTTTGATTTGAATTTTGAAATTCAAAATTCCCGCCAACAATTTTTTCTTCACGAGACCCATATTCTTCTCGAGACCCATAATGTTATTGTTTGGAACATTTTAGGCCAATATCCTCATTTTTTCACTTTTTCGACCTGCTGGATGGTGACCCTCTCGGGAGCTCTCGCCGTCTTCGTTTTTTTTTTTAAATCAGTTTTTTTCAAATTCGAATTTTGAATTTTGAATTTTGAAATTCAAAATTCCCGCCAACAATTCTTTCTTCACGAGACCCATAATGTTATTGTTTGGAACATTTTAGGCCAATATCCTCATTTTTTCACTTTTTCGACCTGCTGGATGGTGACCCTCTCGGGAGCTCTCGCCGTCTTCGTTTTTTTTTTAATCAGTTTTTTTCAAATTCGAATTTTGAATTTTGAATTTTGAAATTCAAAATTCCCGCCAACAATTTTTTCTTCACGAGACCCATAATGTTATTGTTTGGAACATTTTAGGCCAATATCCTCATTTTTTCACTTTTTCGACCTGCTGGATGGTGATCCTCTCGGGAGCTCTCGCCGTCTTTGGTTTTTGTTTTAAATCAGTTTTTTTCAAATTCGAATTTTGAATTTTGAATTTTGAAATTCAAAATTCCCGCCAACAATTCTTTCTTCACGAGACCCATAATGTTATTGTTTGGAACATTTTAGGCCAATATCCTCATTTTTTACTTTTTCGACCTGCTGGATGGTGAGATGAAAATCAAGAAATATGGAAATTTAATTTGAGATGCAAACTTATTGATGGAGAATCAAAGAAGAATATGATAAGTTACAAAGGAAAAGAACTGCTCTTTTCGCATAAACAGGTAAGTTTCTTTTCAGGGGTTTGAAATAATTTTTCTGCTGCAATTCCAGCTCATTCTTTTCCATGACTCCAATTCAAAAATATGTTGTGAAAAAAATATAATTGACATTTTGGAAATTCCAAGAACCATAGAAATGGATTGTTTTGAAAAAGTCCTCCAAATTGCTCATGGTGTTCAGCTGAAACTTGATGGTGAATAGATCTTTCATTTTTCCAACAATAAAATCAATAAATCGATAATTTTTAGGTGACGAATTGATGGATGTTATGCGCATTGCTCATCGTTACGGAATCCAAAACGTGTTGAAATACTGTGAAAGACAATTGATCATGAAATTTTCAGAATTTCCAGGTGAAGAAATCTTCAAAGTTTTCTGGAGCCATCTACATCGAACTGTAGTTGTTCACTTAATTAGAGATGCTGCAAACTTCAATTTGAACCGTCTATTGGCATTTTTTCTGGCAGTTTTCTCGAAGGATAAATACGATAAGCGGGCATTGATTTTAGGACAAATATGTTTGGAACGAATCACGAATGAATCAATGAAAATGATTGTGGCGCATTTTCTTTATGGAAAATAGTGAACTTTTTTTTATTTGGTCTTTTAAAATGAATTTTCTGAAAACCCGTTTTTTATTGCAAATGTTTAACTTCCCTTTTTTCGAAATTCATCGAATTTTCATTTATCTTTTAATTTTCGAGTTTTGGATTATCTGAAAAATTTCAACTTTCCCGTCATTCAAGAAATTCATGGAACTATTTTCAAAATTTTATTTGAGGACAATTTTTTTTTGTTCCAAATTTTAATAAAAATACGTGTAAAGGAAACTTTTCGTTTCTCAAAAAAAAAATGATTTCCTTGAAATTCTTACAAAAATGAGTGATCGATTCAAATGTAAGTATTTTGGGTTTTATAGAACAGTGACGTTATAGAACGTTTCAGAACTGCGACAAAATAAAACTTGTTTTTCAGATTCTCATAATGGAATCTGTAAAATTCCAAATGTTCCAGAAACTATTGCGGCTGCCAATCATACTCCAGCACAATTTCTATTTGAAGTTAATAATTTTAAAGTTGGGGGTACAGGAGATTTTTCGTAGTTTTTTTGTAGCTAGGGTATGCATTCTGACGTGACGGTGTACAACGCTTAATGTCACTCTGCGTACAGCTGTCGTCCTCGCCTTTATGTATGCAATCGGGCGTGCGCTTTATCTTTGTCCGCGTGGCTCAGTCGGTAGCGGCGCAGCACCCTCAATCATCGCCCTCACAAGTTCAACTCCTCGAGGCGCATATTTAAAAGGAATTTCGAGAACATTATTTTTTTTCAGGTCCCCCCACCTTTAAAGGGTAAAATTTCATACAATTTCAGAAAAAAATTTAACTTTAATTCAGTTCGATTTTTATGAAATATTGGTCAGGCGAAGAATTGGTTTATCCGGTTGTGTCATTAATTAAAAGGGGTACATCTCAAAGTGCCAAAATTCCACCAAAAATTCCGCTGTTTCTTAATATATTGAGCAAAAATCCAAAATTCAAAAATGAATTCAAAATTGAATCTTTCGCGAAGCGCGACCAGTCCGTATCGGGTCCAGAAATTCTATTTTCGGACGTTTTGGATCCGAAAAATGGACTTTTTTCTTAATTTCCAAATTCTCTTTTCAGCGGGATTTATCTCCAATATCGTGTTAATCAGAAATCATTGTTGTCAGTAGCTATATTAACTGAAAGTGAGCTATCCGAAAGTGGAAAAATTCTCCATAAAACACCTGTATTTTTCAATGTTTTGAGTGGAAATCCGAAATTTCAAAATAAATTCAAAATTGAAACTTTTGCGATGAGCCATAAACCAGTTGGTGGTCCAGGAATTCCAATTTCCGAAGTTTTGAATTCAAAAAATGGATTTTTGGATGAAAATGGATCGATGACAATTGAATATGGATTTCATTTTGATGCTATTTTTGATGAAGATCAAGAAATGTGGAAATTCAATTTGGAATCCAAACTTTTTGATTGCGAATTGAAGAAAAATATGATAACTTTTGAAAAAGGAGAAAAAATGCTCTATTTTTCACTTTACATCCGGATTCTCTGAATTTCCGACTTCCTAAACTTTTAAATAGATTCTCAATTTTCACATTTCATCTGATTTTCTGAATTTTCAGCTAGTTCTTTTCCACGATTCCCAGTCAAAAATCAAGGATAAGTACACGGAAATAGATCTTCTCGGAATCCTGAAAAAATTTGAAATTGAAATTTTTGAAAAATTTCTCCAAATTGTTCATGGTGTTCAGTTGAAACTTGATGGTAAATAGATCTTTCATTTTTCCAAAGAATAAAACCAATAAATCGTCAATTTTCAGCTCTTGAATTGATGGATATTATTAGCATTGCTCGTTATTACAAAATCCGAAACGTGTTGAAATACTGTGAAAGACAGTTGCTCATGAATTTTCAACAATTTCCCGAAGACGAATTTCCGGAAAAGTTCGGAAAAAGACGACTGAGAGCAATATCAGTTTTGATTACATATGCTGGGGTTCTCAATTTGAATAATCTATTGGCGTGTTTTTTGAAATACTTAATCGGAAGCAATTGGGGAGTCAAACATCGTTTTTCCAAAAAATTTAGTTTCGATAAAATGACGAATGAATCAAAGAAAATATTTGTTGCAATTGTGCTCTATGAAGAACATTGGGCTCTAGTATGAAATTCTGGTCCTTAGAAAAAATTCTGGTCCTTAGAAAAAATTCTGGTCCTTAGAAAAAATTCTGGTCCTTAGAAAAAATTCTGGTCCTTAAAAAAAAGCTGGTCCTTAAAGAAAGATGTGGGTATTTAAATAGCTTTCATGTTTTTGTCTGAAAATTTGGTTAGATTGAAACGTTTATCTTTTCCAATCTGTTTTCAATAGTTTTGATGTTTTAAAAATATTTTTTTTTGTAATTTTGATTTTTATTCAGAAGAAGGTATAAGACTAAAAGGCGTGGCATGTAAGAATTAGAGAGGATAAATAGTTTAGAACACAGGAAAAAGAATATCGGTTGCAACAAGATGATCTTATCCGCGTCCTTTGAACTTCCTTCGGCCGGTGACAGTGGATTTTGGAGTAGTGGCAGTGAATCTTGGAGTAATGGTAGTGGATCTTGGTGTGGTGGTAGTGGGCCGCCGGCGTCTTCTTCTATTATTCCGAGTCTTCTGAGTGGTGATGGTTGTTTGTCTCGTTTCAGGGGCACACGTCGTCCGTTTCGTACAAGGTTCTGTCGTGGTTCGTCTCGACTGATGGGAAGTTGTTCGTCTTGTTCTCATGGTGGTCGTGGTCATCATGATTGCTGTGGTTGTAGGATCAGCTTTTCGACTTTGTGTCTTCTTCCGAGGTTTTCGAGTTTTGGTCGTCGTTTGCCTAGGTGTAGTTTGCCTTGGTGTAGGGCGGCCCACTACCACCACACCAAGATCCACTACCATTACTCCAAGATTCACTGCCACTACTCCAAAATCCACTGTCACCGGCCGAAGGAAGTTCAAAGGACGCGGATAAGATCATCTTGTTGCAACCGATATTATTTTTCCTGTGTTCTAAACTATTTATCCTCTCTAATTCTTACATGCCACGCCTTTTAGTCTTATACCTTCTTCTGAATAAAAATCAAAATTACAAAAAAAAATATTTTTAAAACATCAAAACTATTGAAAACATGATTGGAAAAGATAAACGTTTCAATCTAACCAAATTTTCAGACAAAAACATGAAAGCTATTTAAATACCCACATCTTTCTTTAAGGACCAGCTTTTTTTTAAGGACCAGAATTTTTTTTAAGGACCAGAATTTCATACTAGAGCCGAACATTGAACTTTTTATTCTTTTGGCTTTTTGAAATAAACTTTTGTTGGTTTCTATTGAACAAGGTTTTTTTCCATAGTTTTAACTCGAGAATACTGTTCATAAAATAACTCTGGGCAAGGGGCGGGGCTAACGCGACACATCCCTTTACGAAACCTGTGAGAAAAGAAACATTTGAACGCATTGCAAAAAGGGCCGGGTCACTTTGCAATTTGCGGGTCCTCACGTCCTATTGTACAGACAGTAATGGTTATTCTTTTTTAAAAGTAAATCCTTGATAAAACGTGAAGTTTACGCGTTTCGTAGAACATTTTTATTGTAAACTAGAACAAAAATGGAAGAAAATATAACAGTTCAAACAATTCTTATATTGCTGAACTTTTCATAGTCGCAAACGGGCCGACCTGGCGGGCCGGCAGATAACTTGTCTCCAAAACGAGATATTCAGACAGTTTTGGTACCAATGATAGATCTCAACAGGGCCCATCGCGTCTATGTCATTTCGGCCGGATTCCGGTTTATGAATATGTGGATTACTGGAGACACAATTTTCAGTCTGAATCTTCGAAAAACGTGTAAATCCTTCCGAAATTTCATTGATGACGTCAAGCCGATGAATGATTTGAAGATTGTTAATATATTTCTTGGACACCGATTGCTGAAAGTTTATTTAGGTTTTGAGAAGAATTCAAACTTGAAAATTGGAGGGATGAATGTGTTTTATGAGGAAGGAAGAGAAGAAAACAGTTGTGTGGTTTCCAAAAACTCAGTGGAATTGGTAAAAACGGATGGACACTTTCTGAATGTATTTTTCGACGATTTCGAGCCCATTCTCAAAAATCAAAGTTCCAAATTAACTGATCTAATAATCAAAGTTGATTGCCGCACTTATTCGGATGCTCAAAGTACTTTTCCTCAATCAAAATCTCAAACGGCTTTATCGCATTGTCTGTGCTCTCGAAGGAAAAAAACCGAGAGAATTTTGAAAATGATAGAGGAAGAAAAAGACCATCAACATAAG